AGAGAGAGAGAGAGAGAGAGACGTGACGAGAGAGAGAGAGAGAGAGAGAGAGAGAGAGAGAGAGAGAGAGAGAGAGAGAGCTCCTGGACACGAGCGAGCGAGCGAGCGAGCGAGAATGAGCGAGAGAAGGGGTGGTAGGGGAGAACGAGCGAGGCAGAGACCGAGGAGTCGCGCTCGTATTGATCGGTCCCGGCCACGCGATTTTCACGATCCGTCGCCATGGCCACCTGGCCACCGGCCGAAGATCGTATCTGCCAAGCGTACGTAAAAATCAAACTTTAACCCTCGGCTTGACCCACCTGCTAACCTTCGTTGCAAATTTATATTGTCTTCGTGGAAATCTTTAATTATCTCTAACCCGAAACCGAGCAATATATTTCAATTTATTTCGCCAATAATTTTTTTTCACTTCGTTCCGTTATTACGTTTATACGTTATATTTCAGATCGCATCAATAACATTTTCATGTCTCTATCTTATATAATATTCTCATATCTAACGGCAGAGTATAATATAGATTTTCAAATCGAGTTTCTTTTGTTTTCGAGATATTGGATTTAAATTTAAATTATTCTTCTTCTTCTTCTTCTTCCTTAATTAGAAGCAATCAAAAATCAAAGTAGAAAGCGTGCTACGTAAACGTTTGTCGCGGCGCGATTCCCTGGAAGATGGTCGGTCAGACAGAGATCGACTTTTGCGAACCCCGGGTCTGGCGAAAAGGGGTGGCTTTCCGCATTGTGTCGCGGATAACCCCAGTTTGCGCGTATACGCAGCCATGCGTAACGTCCATTGTCGTTGGATAATGACGGTGGCACAGGAGTCGCGTTTCGAAGTCAACGGCGAACGATACTTTTCCGATGCGTTACTCTTCTCCTCGCCCGACAATGGGGTCTCTCGGCTTCCATTGTGCCGTCCTAAAATATCGCGATGCCGAGCAGAAAGAGAGAGAGAGAGAGACAGGGAGAGGATGGATCGATAACTACGGAAGATGCGGGGCTACGATAACTGCTGGCTCCGACATTTTCTCCGACTGCTGAACGCGCCTGTTTTCTTCGCCTCGTTCGTAAACACCGAACGATTCGTTGATGAAAAATAGCGTCGACAAGTTCGATCTTGTTACACGCGAAAAACTCGTTTTTACAACACAAAATTATTGATACTATATATATATATATATAAATATATTATAATACAGATACAAGGGAGATAGATCTCGTAGCGTCATCCATTGTGAGTTAAGATTCTTCTGTAAGATTCATCCATTTTGAGCTGAGAGGGATATATTCTTCTTCTTCTTCTTCTTCTTTAATAATGATAATAATAATGGTAATAATAATAAATTGTTGTCATTGAAAAGTTTTAGGGAAGATAGGATATAAAAGGAGTTTAATGTAAAAAATTGGAATTTATAGTTGTTCATTGTCCCCGTTTATTTCCCCACTACGTTTATTTCATATCGTGGGCCCTGGCACATTCGATGCATATAATAAAAGCTATCTATCGCATGTAATAAAAGGTATCTCAAGAGAGGACGTGGTCAGTTGGATCGTGGGGTGACCGCAGTCATGAAACTCGAAGTCTCTCCCCGTGTGGGGTGGTCCTAAGGACAGCTGATGACTACGTTGAACAACTGACAGGGACGAGGAGGAGGCGGAAGGGGAAAGAGAGAATTAAAATGTACACCAGTGGTAGCTCGTGCCTGCTTGATATATGTGTCGTGGCAGCTGTGTGTATAAGCCTTAACCATGAACGCTATCGGCACCCTACGGCCATCGCGTATAATTCCCCTTTCTCTCTTCCCTTTTCTTCTCCTTCTCCTATTTTGCTCGGTTTTCGTCCCTTTCGCTCGAGGCATGTGCGACCACATACCGGGTGTCCCGAATAAAATTATTTAATTTCTTCCACGCACGCGCATAGAAAAGATTAATAGATATATTCGTGAGAAATTTAGATCCTCTTTTCTAATCGATCGAAACTACCAGCAACTCTGAACTCCAGCAGAGAAAATTAGAAATTAACCTTCTCTCAGTTGTTGTGTATTGTGTAATTCGATTAGAATTTATTTTTAAAATTATGAGTTATGGATAATTGGATAATAAGAAAAAAAAAAAACTATCGTATCTTGGAGAGGAAAGGAAAATTTGGAAAATTTTTAAAGAGAGTATAAAGCGATATGATCGATATTGAACACCCTGTAAACGTATCGAACACGGTGGTTTTGCCAGAAAGAAAAAGGGAAGAGGCACGAGGGAGGCGAGCTCTTTAAACCAGGAAAGGGGGGGGGGGGTCGTCGCCCCTTTAAATCCGCGTTTCTATTGGATCTTACCCTCGTTCCCTACCAACTACCACCTCCGCCTGTTCTTTTCACGCTGTATTTTGAAAGTCATTGTCAGATTACGTCAGCATCCAGTTGCGCGAACCATGAATTTTTCGCATTTCGTTGTCCATAATCAAGCCACGCGCCCTGTCCGCGTCCAGCTGCTTGTAATTTAATGTATGGAATAGATAATGATCTTCTTCGTCGTATTTAAACGTAACAAAATCTTTTTGAAACTATAAAAACTTTCTCCAATATGGGCGAAACAGGTTTGAATAATTCCGACCATTACGAAATATCTAATCACAGAATATTTTGTTTTCTCTGGTTTTCTCAAAAACTATACTTGTTGTTGCCACGCGAATATTTATACAGAAATAAGCAAAAACTGATTTTCTTTTCGAACTTGTGTTCTCTGTGAACATGTGCATCGACATGTGTACGACGTGTTGATTAACACGTTTTTACGTCCTTCAAAATTCTGTCGACACAGAAGTTCTTGCTTGGCCCGTGTTTATACTTGTCTGTTACTTCCTATATATATTCTTCTACATATATTCTCGTCGACCGATTGTTTCGATAAATTTCAACGTGTCGTTCGAGTATCTTGAGAATCTCCAACGATCGAAATTTTCTTATCATTTGAATATTTATTCCCTCGAAAAAAAAAACCAAAAAAAAAAAAACCAAAAAAAAAAACAAAAAAGTAATTATGAAAAAGGAGTTACGAATCATTGAATCGAAAAACACAGGAATATATTATATATTTGGAAAAATATTCGAAGGAAGTTGCAATGGTTGAGCGTCGGCTTGCGTTCCTTGCGTTTCCAGTAATATCTCTCTTCTTTCCTTTTACAACGAAACTTTTACAAATTGGGCGATCGATTACGCCACCCATTCAATAAAAAGGTTTAGAAGGAGATTACGGTCGATGTTGATCGAAAAGAAAAATAATGGAGAATAACTAGAAGACGAAACTGTTCTAACTAAGATAAAAGTTAAAGGCGAAATATAATCGGTTGCCCGTTGTTACGTGATAATAAAAGGACGCTTTCTCGTTTCAGATTTCGTACGTAGTTAGAAAGGACCCGGTTGAAGAGTGCAATGATGGCGAACGGAATGGACACAGTCGTACAACAAAATGGTGGATCCACCCTCGGACAGGCTTCGCAGGAAGAGTCGAAGACGAATCTCATAGTAAATTATTTGCCACAGAGTATGACACAGGATGAGATTCGATCCCTGTTCTCGAGCATCGGCGAGGTTGAGAGTTGCAAGTTGATTCGTGATAAACTCACCGGTAAGTCGAACGTTCTCTTCATTCATTATCATAGCTAACAAGCTAAACAATAAATTATCACGAAGCCCGGCCATACGTTTCTTTCGTGTTTGACCGAATAGATAGCGTTTTGTATTGTTATGATAATTTTCATGGAAACCTGTTATTACAGTTAATACACGGACAGGTGTGGAACGAAAGAATAAGTCTTTCTACACAGTTCATTTGTTTATCGATTTCTAGACGTTACCGAGGAACGGGTGTTTAGTCTTGGTTGAGTAGTCGGCATCGATTCGTCTGCTGCCTGTTTATTTTGTATCAGCCTTATTTGAGGGGGATAGAAAGAGATAGAGAATCTTTGGAAACCAAATAGAATCTGTTAAAGATACAAAGTCGGGGGAGGGGGGGAGTTGGAGGGCACGGGAGAGGAAAAATGAGAATTCAATAATTCGTGTTACGTACGCCTGTGGTGTTATCGTTTTTCCACTCACCAGCCCATTCTTATCGCGATATTCGAAACGCAAAAATCGCGTAGAACGAGCGACACTCCATCGACCGATCGGAAAGAATTTTTTTCTCCAACTTCCAATAACTTCGTCTCGTTGGAAAGTTTTGGGAGGAAAGAACGCGTGTTTTTCGTCATCGATTTTTCGATTACTCACGGGCCAAGCGTGGAAGATCGAGGGGAAGGGAGAGCGATTACGCAACGTTGCGTTCCCATCGTCGAGGGATTTTTTCTCCCCATGCCGAGTGACCATTCGAGTGCGCGTAATCCAGCGTAATTTCGGGCTGGCGTACTCGCGCCTCTGAATTCCGTGCGTTAGTGGAGAGCACGTGCGTGGACGTCGCGACGCTATTTCGAGCGTCGGAGTAGCGGGGGCGTCGTTTGGTTTGAGCCTCTGCCGCTTTATATTCGACCTCGCCGCGCGATCTCAGGGCCGTATTGCACCGTCTGCGTTTCCTGTTTTCGAAAAACACTCGCCGCTGTCGCCGTATCTGTTTACTCAATGAACGGACACGTTCAGACACGTTTATCGTTCGCGAATTTTCTCTCTCTCTCTCTCGTCGATCAATTTATTATTTATTATAAGTGGAAATTAAAAGGTCTACGAGAGAAGGAGGTTCTTTTCTTTTTTTTCTCTTTTTTCTCCTTTTTTTTTCTTTCTTTCTTTTAAGCGCAAAATCGTTTAATTCGATGGTATTTTGTTTTGTGTGTTGCAGGTCAGAGTTTAGGTTACGGTTTCGTTAACTATCACCGGCCTGAGGATGCTGAGAAGGCGATAAACACGCTCAACGGTCTTCGTCTGCAAAATAAAACGATCAAGGTTCGTTCTCCCTAGTTGGATGAACATAGTGAACTATCTATTTATAAGGATCCTTCTAGATTAGCATTTGGAAGTAAATACTGAATCGCGCGCGCACGCGAGCGAGCACGATATCTAGAGTTTTCGTGAAAGATTCGAGAGTCAAAAGTTCGTAACGATCTCTGTCAGCTATTTATAAGCAAAACACTTTAGCGATACTTTCATTGTTCAATTCAATTTCTTGGATTAACTTCTACTCCAGAGTATTTCGTTAATTCGTGCTTGGATTTCGCGCAAGTTAGTTTTATAACAAATTGTTATGGTTAAAATATTTACAATAGTTAGTAAAAACAAATTGGCCGTGACTCGGAAAGAAATCTCGCGAAAAGATTTCTATTCGTATCGCTTTTTGTTTACGGAATAGTAGTGGGTACGCTTTCGAATCGGTTTTTATCGAAGAAGAATTTTCAGAAAATGTGTCTCAAGTGAGATTACGCACGATACGCCACAGTGTTGCAATGATCGAAATAGATTGGCGTGAATTCAAAGACATTATCGCATCTGCTATTTATTAACTGTACGAGAAAGAGTCAAAATTCTTCCCCACGTTTTTCACGTACGTTACGTGATGTGAATCTCGTCGAAAAAGAGAAACCGACTACCACCAAACTTTCAAATCGTTGAACATCTCGAATTTTGTCGATGCACCACCATCGAATTTTGGTAGAGGGAAGGAAGGAAAAAAAAGAAAAAAAATTCAAAAAAATCGCAGAAGAGAGTTGCACAATAGGGAAATTTTCTCGATTGTCGCGATTAACGATTATTATCATACCTTGAACAGGTATCGTACGCGAGACCGAGCAGCGAGGCGATCAAAGGCGCAAACTTGTACGTGAGCGGTTTGCCGAAGAACATGACGCAACAAGATCTGGAGAATCTATTCAGCCCGTACGGCAGAATCATCACGTCGCGGATACTTTGCGACAACATCACCGGTAAGTTGTTAAATTCCCGACAACTGACGAGGATCGTATCGGCCAGTAGTTGTATGTCGCGTGCCCTGTGGAAGGCCATGGAATACGGGAATTGTAGGGGAAACAGCGTACTCTTCTCTCACTTTGTTCCGAGAGCAAAGTAGATTGGGATCGCACGAGTCAGACTCGTGCCTGTTGAGTAGAAGATTGGTTAGTAGAAAGCTTCTGGTGGTGATCTCAAGGATTAAAGGAAAAAAAAAGAAAGAAAAAAAGAAAAAAGAGTAGGCCATGGGGTTCTAGTCGTATTGTGGGGTGGATCGGTGCGCCTGCAATCAGAGCGAGAACGGACACGATCGTGGTGAACGAGTGACGAATATTTTGATTAAATTTTAGCCAGCGGACGTGAACGCTGTACTTACACACTTTTCGATGTTGGTCGATGTCGTCTCGGAGCTGCGTGATCTCGTTTACGCATCTTTTCATTCCGATCGATGTTAATTCTTTCCTCTTATTTGTTTTTTTTTTCCTTTTTTCTTCTCTCTCTCTCTCTGTCTCTCTCTTCTTTTTTTTTCTTCGTCCTTTTATCGTTCAACTATTTGTCTTTCCTACTACTGTCGTTAGATACTATTGCATAATCGAACAAGAGGACACTTTGTATTCGAGATCATTCGAGAGGACACACGATCGCAAACTCTCGTTTTTGATTCCATACTTTTTTGTCTTTTTTTCGCTCGTTATTGTTTACGTTCTCAGCTTATATTTTTGTTAGCAGTGCATTCTATTTGCATCCCCAGTTTCACGCACAGCCTCATGGCCTATGCCACCCTTATACCGTTATATTTCTTTTATATCCACATTGGCTATTTTTGTTATTATATTCCTTCGAGTTTTACATATATATATATACATATATATGTATCTTGTATCGATACCATCGTTCGCTGAATTAATGAATTCTATTTTTTCGTTTTTTTTTTTTCTTTCTTCTCCTTTATTCGTAATATAATTATCGTTTGATTGATTTTTGATTGATCCCATTAATGTTTACTACGATTCCATTGATTTTGTTTGATTTTTTTTTTTTTTTTCAATACGTTGAGACATTGGTTTCAGTGCCAGGACACGTGTGAAACCTTCCTCTGTTACTTCCTTCGTTCCTGGCTTGCTTTTATTACATTCGGTCCACAGTGCGATCCTCGACTCGAACGGTCAATTTATGTTTTTTCGTTATTGTTGCGTTTCTTTTCCTTGCATTTTTTCTTAGTTCATCTTCGAGAATTGTTTGCTTCTTTGCGTTTGAAACAACTGAGAAATGAAACTGAAACTTTTTTGCATATTTAAGGACAAAAAAATACAAAAAAAAAAAAAGAAAGAAAGAAAAAGAATAGCGTAAAATTTTTCAACAGAAAGATCGCTCGCCCCTTATTCATCTCATTGCGACCAATTTTGTTTTATTATTTTTTTCCAAACACCGATTATATACCAATTATTTTAATTATTTAAACATTATGAAAAAAATCGAAAATCATATATGAGAAACGTTATGATATTTAATTACAAAAAACGAACGAATTTTTTCTCTTTGCCAGTGTTGAATCCATATTCAATTTATTTATTTCTTCCTCTTTTTTTTTTTTTTTTCCCTCCGATTAATCATGAGTCAATCATGATTCAATACTTTCCGAGAAAAAAAACGTTCTGTCTTTACTTTCTTTACACTTTTTTTTTATCTATTTATTTATTCATTTTTTTTAATCGTTAATTTTTATTCTTTCTTCTGACTATTCGTTATTATTGTTATTATTATTATTATTATTATTATTGTTATTATTATTATTATTATTATTATTGTTATTGTTATTATTATTATTATTATTATTATTATTATTATTACATATCCTCCCATCTGAGGACGAATCAGGGGCGAGCGAATCGCTTATGCTATCAGTTGACTGTTAACGTGATATGATTTTTTCCGTTCTGTTTAGTACGACAGTTTGTGACCGGCGGCGGAGACTATTTGCCCGGTACGTAACTCATACAACTCTTTTTTCTTTTCCCTTATTACGTCCAGCTCAAACAAAAGCAGCCGTTTTTCTCTCTTTTAATTTTTACCCTTTTTTTTTTTTTTCATTTTCTTTTCTTATATTTTAATTTTTGTTCAACTCGCGAAACAATTAGATTGTCACCCATGTTTAATACGTTTAACAGAAAGAAAATTAGAGACGAGCATACCAATATTTTTTTCTTCTTCAAGTAGTTATCATCGTTTCGCGAGTGGTCGAACGATCGACTACTTACGATCCAAAAAAAAGGAATAAATACCGCTTTCTGTTTTTTCTTTTTTTTCAATTTTACTATATATATATATTTTTTTTCTCTTTATTTTTTTTTTACTGGCTGCTTTGTTCACGTGACCGCAACAGTTACAAAACCGAACTTTTCCTCCTGAGCGCCGTTTTTGTTTCTTTACGCTTTTTGTTCGTTCGTTATGATTATTATTATTATTATTATTGTTATTATTATTATTATTATTATTATTATTATTATTATTATTATTGTTATTATTATTATTATTATTTTGCGACCGTGCCCTCGACTCACATGGTACACACTTACACACGCAAAACACATATACACACACACACACATACACGTACACACGCATAAATACACCTTTTCGCCCTCCCCCCCCCTCTTTTAGCGCGTTATCAAACTCATTCAGCTTGGTGGAAGAAAACATGATCGACTCACTCGAGAACACACGACATCGGTGTAAAGAAACGAATCTGCGCGCACCGAGCCACTCGTTCGAATGCACTTGACGATTGCATTCCACACAGAATTCGTCGTTGATCACGGGGTGGAAAATGTTTGCAAGAAGAAGGTTCGTTTAGCATTCACGATCGATTTATTAGAAATCGGGAATTATCGTTAATGCAAAGGCAACTTTCTTCGACGAATTGGATTTCTATTCTATTATTATTAATCGCAATGCGATGTAAAAGGATTGTCTCCTTGTTATTAACGTTTTTTTAAGTGTTCCAAGATTTTCCTACTAAATTGCACCGTTATCTTTTATATATGTATATATATATATATGTACATATATATATAGAAGATACAACTAACATTAATCTGGATTCACGAGTGTTTTCCTCGTATAACAACTTTCCTTGTATAATAATATAATATAAAATCACCCATTTTCATTGCGCCTGAGTGACGATGCGCCGCAATTCTCTTCAGCCATTTTATTATATCACGCCACATTCGTTCCAACTCAAATCCAATATAATACATTCTTTTTTATATTCGAAAACGATCAATTGCTTTCCGATTTAACCGGAACATCTTGGATCATCTTGGGAAAATAACTTATCCTTACAACCTACACCAAGAACCTACGCACGCGTGTACGCGTAGTCACTCAACAGTCAACGAGGAATCTGGCAATGTTCTCGCTTCGTTGCCCGATATATTCGTCCAACAAAAATTCACAGAGAGGATGGATCCGTTGAATAACTTGAACCGATTACCGACAGGATTGTCGAAAGGGGTCGGTTTCATAAGGTTCGACCAGCGGGTCGAGGCCGAGAGGGCGATCCAAGAATTAAACGGTACCATTCCGAAGGGCTCGTCCGAGCCGATCACCGTCAAGTTCGCCAACAATCCGAGCAACAACAACAAGGCGATACCGCCGTTGGCCTATCTGACGCCGCAGGCGACCCGACGATACGGCGGCCCAATCCACCATCCGACCGGCCGCTTCAGGTACATTCCACTGTCGCCACTATCCAGGTACCTACTCGCCTCTACTCGCTCTACCCAAAGATCTCTCTCTCTCTCTCTTCTCTTCTCTCTTTCTCTCTTCTTCTCTCTTATCATTTTCTCTTTTGTTTTCTTCTATATCTTTTTCTTCTTCTTCTTCTTCTTCTTTTTTGTTCTTCTTCTACTTCTTCTTCTCTTTAGTTCGATTCTGTTCTGCTTTTCAATTGTGTTTTCTCTTTTCCATTTTTTTTTCTTTTTTTTTAGATATTTTTCTTTCCTTCTTTCTTTCTTTCTTTCTTTTCTTTTTTTTTTATGGTTTTTCGTGCAGATCGCATGGATCGATCGATGATCGGTTTTAACGATGAAAGAATTTAAATCGGTTGGTAAAAAAAAAAAAAAAGGATCGATCGATCGATCTACTAGAATCGTCTGTACCTTTCTCTTTGTTTACACACTCACCGTTTGAGTACCTGAGTACACTGCAGGCTCCTCCTTCTGCACCTCATCTTGCCATATGATCTATTACCTCATCTTCGATCATTTTTATTTTCTTTTCCTTTATCTTTTTCTTTCTTTTCGTCTCAAATTCGTCGCCGATTCGGTATTCATTTACGCAACGAGCACGTTTCGCCGCGGTTAAAGTTTCACGTTGCTCGATCTATCTTTGACGAGCGCACATTTCTATTCGAGGCATCAATCTTTTTTCAATCGAATCGTTGAAGAATGGTCGTTGTTACGATGTTACGTGTCGTAGAGAGTTGTGGAGAAAAAAAAAAAAAAAAAAAAAACGATCGAATTCGATAACTACTGAAAAATCGAATATAAACTCGTGACGAGTTTAGAAGATATGAGAGATGTAATAAAAAGGATCCGAAACAAGTATACGTTGGAAAAATTGCGGTTCGAACAAGTGTCACGCTCGAATATTCGGTTAGAAACCTTTCGATCGACCGTGGAATCGATGTTTCGATATCAATATTTCAACATGTGTTCGCCGTATGCATGTGTCAAGGTTTAATCCAATCGAAATCCAAGATACCCGATGAATCACTGATATATGTTTAAAAAGGTAAACGTTCGGTAATTCGACCTTTCTTCGACGCATCGCTTCAACATCGATCAATTTATTTCTTTGATTTTCTTGTATCTTTTACTTGATTCTTTTTTTTTTTTTTTAAACTCCATCCCTTCAAAGATCACCCATCCGATCTCCCTTTCCCGATAAACGAGTGGTACAAGGTGGTCTTTTTAAAGAATAATTACTAATTATTTAGATGTAAGTCGAATTTAATATACATACGAGAAAGAATCGCATTTAATCGCGCGTGCAAACACAGAAGACTGATCCTTGACCACTCTGGAAACATGGAGGAGCAAGGCACATACAAACGTTCTGTTATTTCTGTAAGTTTTCTTGATTTTTTGTCTTCGCGATCCACGGTAAGCTGGCTCGTCGATATGATTTTACACTCTCTCTCTTTTTTTTTTTTTTCTCTCTTTTTTTCTAGCACGAATGACATATTCATTTGAATGATAATTATGTGAACATGAAAATTGTTGTTTGAATAATTTTTCATTCGTAGAAATCGGGAGGACGGAATTTCTGGTCCTCGGAAACATTACCGTGGATGCGAGGCTGACGACGAATTCAATTAAAATGGAGTTGAGAAACGTCGATAGCGAACAGACTAGAAATACGTATAATTTCTCGTCTCGTCCTTCGTTCCGTGCCTCTGCAAAAAAGAACGCGTGAAAAGAAAAGAAAGACAGAAAAAAAAAAAAAAATTATCATTCCAAGACATGATATAACGAACGAAGATGACGATTAAAACTTTCCCTTGTGTCTTTTTCGAGCATTATTATTATTTAACGAAAAATCCGGATTGTTGTACGCAAATACTTCAGGTCCGTCTGTATGTCCATGTCAGTCGAACGCGAGAAAAATTGAGAAACTCGTTAAGACTCGTTTAAAACTCGTTCGATCGTTCGAATCGAATACGTGGATTCGACGATTCGAATTGGTATCTCAATTAAGAAAAAAAGTTTAAGAAAGAAAAAAAAAAAAAAAGAAGATATAGTAGATTGATAATACGCTTCGCTTTTTCGCTTGCCTCTATTCCGTATTTTTTCATTTCCTTTCGAATCGATATCGCGTCGCCGCAACCTTGGACTTTATACGCTTCCTCGTCTCTCCTTTCCTTTTAAAAAAAAAAAAAAAAAAAAAAAACGAAAAGGAAAATTTTCCAAAATTTTCCATTTTCTATCTTTCTTACTTCTTCTCTGTTCGAATTTTGTTAACCATTTTTTCTCTTTTTCTCTCTCTCTTTCTCTCTCTCTCTTTCTCTTTCTTTTATCTTCTTTATTTTCTTTTATCTTTGTTCTGTCTCTATTTCTATCCTTTTCTATTGCGTTATCCATGGTGAGAAAAGAAAACGGAGAGGCACCATAGATGGTAGTTCCGTGAGAGAAAAAAGAAAGAAAGAAAAATAATGAAAAGAAAATGGAAGCACAAGGAAGCGACTGACTCTTATCCCGATTTTTATTGGCTCGTTCCCGGAGTATCTCTCTTCTTACGTTGTTCTTTTTGTGTTTTGTTTTAGCACTGGCAAGGCCATGCTTGCCATTAACAAAGGCTTACAGAGGTCAGTATTTTTTTCGTTACTACCACTACGTTCCCTCCCGGTTTTTCATTTTTTCGATAATTGATTTCTATTCTTGCGTGGCTTCGTTCTCTTACTTTTCACACACGCTCCGCGTTAAAAAATTTCATATGGTGCGATTCTTTTTTTTTTTTTTTTTTTTTCTCAATTTGAACCAAGATTCTTTTCATCTTATTTTTTTTTTTTTCCTTTCTTTTTCTTTTTTTTCTTTTTCCCTCGTAAATTATATACGTTCGAAATATTTTACGTTGCATATACATATTTTAATAATGCGGTTCATAATTCGATTGTTCATTGTTCGAAATATTACATTTTATCGAAATTAATCGAAATTTATTTTTCGGTTGCTTTTCTTTTTTTTCAATATAACAAATGTCTTATATGAAATTTTTAAGGCCTTTCTCTCTTCCCCCCCTCGACTCACACTATTCTACTTTCTCTTTCTCTTCTTTGCCTTCTTCGTTGCCTTCTTTCGTTTCGTTTAATTGTCATCCTTCAAACGCTTCTCTACCCACAAAACGTCACAAAGCATATATATCTTACCGCTTTCTCGAGAATGCGAATCGATTCGGGTTTGCAATTTCACGATTTCATAATTTTTCACATTTCCTTTGGTATATATACTCGGAAGAGAAAGAAAAAAGGACGAAACATGCCTCTACTCTCTTTTTTCGATTACCTCGTTTCTTTTTTTTCTAATCATCTCTACGTTCTATATCGGAGAATTAAAAAACTGTTACTTTATTCTCAGTTTCGCGAGTTTCGAGTATATAAGTTTCACTCTGATTTATCGATATTTCAATACAACCGTAGAATTTTCTTTTTTTCTTTTAACCTGTTAGCTTTCAAGCTTCTGATCTAATATCCTGACTAAGAGAATAATATATAGTTAGTCAAACATGTACGGACTGTACAGACGGATTTCGACCGATTTTTCAATCGTTGTCGAAAGAAGAATGAAAAATCGAATGAAAATCATAGATTCTAAAATCGTTCTCGCGAAACTACAGATCGTTATGCCTAAAAAAAAAAAAAAAAAAAGAAAAAGGAGAAAAATAGAAAAAAATTGCAAATAGAGACTCGAATCAACGTTCCTCGACAGGCTCGCATTTTCTTCTCCTTCTTCACTATTTCTTTTCTTTGATTCTTTGCCTTCATCGGTCGTGTTCGACTCAAGACTGTGCACCTGCGATATCTCGGCCCCTCCACCGACGATCAATCGGTGAATTTTCAAAAATTAACGAAGGATATTAACGTTCGATTTGATGATATAGATAAAAATACGAAAAAGAAAAAAAAAAAAAAAAACAACGAATCGCTTTGCATCGAGCGACCAACGGTTTAATGGTGGTAGAGCATCTATCTAATAGATACTAGTAGCGATATTTATTGAAAGATGGTTCATTTAGATTATTGGTGTAGAGCTGAGAACAACGTTAGGTGCACGATCTCTGAAAAAGCAATCACGTGAATTCACGTGAACCATAGATATACATACATACATATATATATACATATATAGATATATGTATTTTTGTTGGCACACACCAATGCAAGAGAATCGCACTTGATTATCGTTAGAGAACAATGCACCGATGTGTCGACTTTCGTAATTGAAACGATCGATCGTCGATAATAAATAAATTTTTCGTTTCTTTCGACGTTGTGGATCCCGGTTTTAGATTCCGATTCCTGAGAAATTAGATATATTTCCGATCGAACGTTTCTACAAATATATAAAGTTAACTAAACGATAGTCGAACGAGTGTATATATATATATATATATCGGATAGTTGAACGAAACACGTGGATTCTTCTTTCACGAGAGAACGCCTCGCTTCTATTGAACAACTCGACCCAACTTGAACCTTTAACTCGATCGTTCCATTTCACTTCTTTTCCTTTAATATCAAATATCAAAGATATCGTGTTTCGATGAACGATAATAATTAATAATAACAATAATAAAAAAAGAAAGAAAGAAAAGAGGAATGAAAATAAAACGAAGAGATGAAACAGATGAATCGAGTTTAGGGTTCGTCGTTCGAGGGTTCGTCGTTAAAGAAAAAAAAACCACATCCCAAAGACGCGTTGTACATATATATATACGCGTGCGTATATAGAGAAAAAAAAGAAAAAGAAAAAGAAAACGCGATTCCTAATGAGCGTTCGTTCGTAACGAATGCGCCATTGCGTAATTACTGTCACCTCGGCCCTATAATGAATACTCACTGAGATGTGCCCTGTTTTAACGCGGCTTGTGACGTCAAGTAGGTACGTAGATTACATTTTTACATCTCTGTAAATAATACCCCACCTCGTAAACGTGTTTTCCCTCTTTTTCGTTCCCCTCGCATTCAATTCGTAATTTTTTAGCATGCCGATTTAACGATGTCCCCCCGCCGCGTGCATGCGACTGACTTCCTCCCCCTCGATTCTCATTTACGATTCTACCCTCTACTTTTTCATTCCTTGTTCCGTTCTTCGTTCTCGTTTTTAATTAATAATAAAAATTGAAAAATTTCAAGTCAAGTAGTTAGCATCGAGCCGCGCCTAGTTCGTTTAGAACGCTTTTACCGTAGAATTGCATGCAGTGTTGCGCAACTCTTCTCCCAAGAGTCTCTTGTCGACGTTAATTTCAACGAAAGCGAAATTACGATTTCTTTCTTTCTTTTTTTTTTTTTTCTCTCTCTTTTTTTGCAACGCGATAATTAATCTCGTTCGGTTAACTCGTAACGGTCTGTTTGTGCCTATTTTTTTTTTTTCTACCGAATTTCAAGCACGATTTAACGATGATTTTTTTTTTCTTTTTTAATGCGAGTAACTTTATTATATGTTTACAATGTTTGTGCACGACTTTAATTTGTCCATGTGATATTTTTCTTTTCTTTTCTTTTCTTTTTTTTTTTTAACTAAGATCAAAAGGATGTATTGCGAAAGAAAATCTTTTTCGGTCGAGTTTATTCGAAATTTTTTATTATTTGTTCATAAATTATTAATTGGCAATGTGTGCACGATCAATCAGTCAACAATGAAAGTCTCGTCCGTTGTTTCTTTTTTTTTTTTTTTTAATTTCGAACAGTAAAAAATAATCATAGCAGGCATAGAGAAATTCTTTCTAGTAAAAATCGATCGAAACGGGGGAAAATAATAAATTCGCGAAATTAATCGACAACCCGGAACAATTTCAATTTTCTTCAACTTCATCGTTTTTCGTTTCGACGAATCGACGACAAAACGCCGCAGCACGCAAAACGCAGAACGTTTTTCTTGCCTTGTTGTATCGTGAAAACGCGGGGAGGGGGATTGAAACGACGATAGAACGACAAGGATCGGCGCGCAATGCGAAAATTAGTGGGAGATCGGGTGTAACGTTTTCACGCGACGAATGGAACTGTTTCAGGTACAGCCCGCTGGCAGGCGATCTCTTGGCAAACTCGATGCTACCCGGGAACGCGATGAATGGTTCCGGCTGGTGTATCTTCGTGTATAATCTCGCCCCAGAGACCGAGGAGAACGTGCTGTGGCAGTTATTCGGTCCGTTCGGCGCCGTCCAATCGGTCAAAGTGATCCGCGACCTGCAGACGAACAAGTGCAAAGGCTTCGGTTTCGTGACGATGACCAACTATGACGAGGCGGTGGTCGCCATCCAGAGCTTGAACGGTTACACGCTCGGTAACCGGGTTCTCCAAGTGAGCTTCAAGACGAACAAGAGCAAGGCGGCGTAGGACGACAAGCAACAGCATCACGATCACCACCACCACAACCACCACCACCACCACCACCACCACCATCGTCGGGCAGCGGGGACAGCGGCAGCAGCGGCGGCGGTAGCAGCAGCCACGACGCCGGCTGTGGCGGCCATGATCGGTCGAGCGACCGCCACCAAGGTCATCCTCGGCTCAACGACCGCGGCAGCCGCGGTGGTCGCCGCCACAGCGACCGCCGCCGTTGCGGCTGCGGCCGCGGCTCTGGTCACGCCCGCGACCGTCCAAGCGCTCGCGACTGCCTATGCTTCCACTAAGAAGATCGACCACCACCATCTCCCCATTGATTCCGTGATCGACATCCTCAACAGTCGTGACCGCGGAGAGAACCATCGTAATCACCACCACCACCACTACCACCACCACCACCACCACCATCACCACCACCACCACCATCACCACCATAACTACCATCAACAGTTACTTAACCAGTATCATCCGTTGAAAGGTTACAACTCGATGTCCGGCTATGAAATGATAATTAGGGGTACGGCCTCGTCGAAGAGATGTCGTTGGGGCGGCAGATACGATTACGAGAACCACGAATGACGAATACAAGTAGAATAAATGAGAAGGATGCTGAGAGCTCTCTGGAGAAAAGCTCGGTCGAGAGAGGGGGAGAAAAAAAAATAAAAAAAATATATATAGAGGAAAGAATGGAGAGTGAGAGATAGAAGAAAGGGGAGAATGATAAGGGATAGTCTCGTGCGCGTGTGGTGCGTGTATACGTGCGTCTGTACGTTGCGTGTGTAGTAGGTGCGCGTGGCTGAGAGCGGGGGAGGATGCGGAGAGACGAGGAGGAAGAGGTGGCGAAGACGGAGAGAGGTAGGTCGTGATGATGTGTTCCAGTCGTTCGATTATCCTAACTGCGTAAGCGGCGTGTTGGATCGAAAGGGGAAGAGAGAGAGAGAGAGAGAGAGAGAGAGAGAGAGAGAGAGAACGTCGTCTC